ATTGTCTTCACCGGTAAACTTTTTCCAAACCAGTGATAACTACCCTGGGATTGGAGTTGAGGTAATTCCTCTCTGTAGGTAAAACTCTTCTGTGTCTGGCTGAGTGCAAACTTTACCAAACCAAACCTTGCCAGCTGTAGGTTTTGTTGCCTGGTTTGACAAAAGACAGCTTCAAACATGGAGTTTAGTCAAGTGCTCTGGAGTGTTCAGCAAGCCTCCATGTTGCTCTTAGGTTTGGGTCTTTTTTTTTCCCCCTGCCAATGAATACTTTACATTGCTGGAAGACCTGAGGGGATCTAGTCTGGATAAACACCCAAGAGGCAACTTGGATCTTTGAAGCTCCACTGCCAGCAGTACGGAGGTAACAAGGAGGCTTGCTAAATGCAACTTGGCCTTTGTAGCTCCAATCCTGCCATTCAGGGAACAGGAGGTGGGGAAAGAATGGGGAACACTAGCCAAAGGGGGAAAGGATGGGAAAAAGACAATGGTCTCTCTCCTTCCTAGGACCACCCTGTCGTTTTTCCATCTACTTCCACGGCATGCAGTTTTCCAGGTTTCTGCTGCTTTCTTTTCCTTCCAGGCTTCCTGATGTCTGTTGTCCCCGAGCTGCCACTGCCTTAAAGTTAGGGTCAATGTAGTAGCGAGCATAGGACTGGTGTTCTCGCGTGTACCTCTGCTGAGATGCTGGTACTTTTGTTTAAGGCCGCCACTGAATCTAGTTCTAGCGTTTGGAGTTCAGACACGCTATCCTGCTTCTCTAATCTGAGCCCCGTGTCTCTTTTAACATTCTCAGGTGCTGTTTACAAGTCTTCCTGTAGTCCATGTGTATGCTGTTAGCACGACAGCACTACATGACCCAAAGAAGCTACAAGGAAGTGTGTACTCCTGCCCCGTCTACAAAAAGCCCCGAAGAACAGATCTGACGTACATTTTCTCTTTGTATCTGAAAACGGTGCAGAATCCCGATCATTGGACTTTAAGGGGGGTTGCACTGCTCTGCAGTTCAAAATAAGGACAGACAGCTATTAAAAAAAAAACTCCTAGGAAGGTTAACCTGCAGCCAGTGGGGCCTTCGTTGTTATTGTCAAAATGGTGGCTACCTTCTCCCAGGGGTATGGGAATTAGCAGTTGATCTATAGAGATTGTGTTAGTTGCACATAGATCAGTTTACTCTGTTCACAGCAAAAATGCTAAATGTATTTATCCTGGGAATATCAGAAGGAAAACAGTTGCAGGTGTAAAATTTGGCAACTGTTATAAAACAAGTGAGAATATAATCAACTAGCTTGCTCGTAATGGAATCACTAGGAAAAAAGTGCTTATGATAGTGACAACTGCTCTAAGATTTATGGTGGTTCTTTCGTAGATGTTATCTTTTCTTCTTAATACAAGACTTTTTCACAATAGAATTCTTTTCAAATTCAACTTTGTAGTTAAAAACTTATCATCCATAGCATTATTAAAGCTGTAATGGCAAGTGAATTAAACATATAGTAAAACTTTATGTTTATCTGCATATTTTCCAATCAACAGTTCCTTTGATTTTTGCATTTGTAAACGTACCATTTCCTTGAATAGTCACTTGTTTATGCAAATGATCATAGAAGCTGTACAAACAGGTGAGTTTATCTTTGCACAAGTAGTGGCCTTTGCACATATTAACTCATTTCTAAACCTATATCCCATTATAAGGAAGATGTGCATACTTCCCATTATTAGCGAGAAAAAAGTTTTGAAACTCTTCTCAGAGTAAACACAACTGAACACCAGTTTGGCTCCATTACTATTCACTCCATTGGTGTTAGTGCGCGAATCCTGCAAACTCAAACCTCTTAACTGCTTTTTATTCTGTATTTTCCATCAGTTTAGGTAAAAAAAAAGAAGACAACACACAGGCCATTTCTGGGAGTAGATTCACCTGAAATGGTTGAAGTAATTTTTGTTTATTACCCCCATTGCTGTCTCCCCTGTAATTGAAGGGTAATTGCTACTTCTCTTTTAATAGGCAGACAGCTATTGGCAGAAAACGTGTTTGGCTTTTTTCACTAGCACAAATTCAAAGCAAAAGAAATTACTGTTGGGTGTTATGAAAGAAGGAATTGCAGTGAGTGCTTTGCTAATCACTTTTTTTCTCCTTGTAAACACTTTCAATTTTGGTATAAACACTTCAATTTCCTTTCATCTGGCATCTAAGAAAGTAGTTCATCCTTTCCCATAACCAGTTTTACTCTGCAGTTAGCAATTCCAGGGCTCTTTCCATGAGGAAGTTTGATATTCACACTCCCACCCACAACTAAGCAGAAAGTGCCAGATTTCTTCTTGGAAAACAGAGCAGACAGGGTCAGGGTCCCTTTCTCTCACTGAGCTGGGAGCAGCACTTGTTTCACATGCAGTGCCAGTGATATTATCTTAGCAAGTGAAGCCACCTGTTCAAAAAATACACACCAGGCCTCCCTGCAGAACAGCTGTACATCAACTGATTTCCTTGAGAATTTGGTTTCTGAGAAGGGTGAAGGATTTGGCTTGCAAGATCATTGCTCTTGGAAATTACGAAAAAGATGAGGACTTCAAGCAGCAAAAGGCTGTGCTGCTGTATACAAGTTGAGGTTGTAAACCATCGTGTTCTCCCCATCCCCTACCTGTATGAGGGGATATGGAGTAAATTAACTTTGATCTCTTGGTACATGTAAAATTCAAGTCAGTAACAATGATGATAACTTAAAATGAAAAGCGTACATTTAAATGCTTTCCACACCTGAAGAAATACTTGCTATGAAAACAAATCATCCTCTGAACAATTGAAGTTAGAAGTAAACATTAAAAAAATAGATATTTGATAGAGGTTATATATGATAAGCTCCATGGAAACTGCATCACTTCCTTTCTTTTTTTAAGTAAAATGAGAAAATTAAATGCTATATAAAGAAAAATCTATAGGCAATTATGTTCTAGAACTTAGTGTCCTGCTGTATAAAAATGCAAAGAAATAGCTTCTTTGAATTTTGACATTTTCATTTGAATAACTAAATCCTGTTTGTCAGTTTAGGAAAACGTCAAATCTTGCAGAACAGAATGCAGGCCATATTACAGGAGGATCAGACAAATCATACAGTGTTTCACTGAAGATAGCTACAGTTTTATACAGAACTGGAAGAAGAACATACAGTTGCCTCATTCCAGAAAAGACTTCCTATAACTAGTAAAAAACCAACCAAACAAAACCTCCAACCTATCCTATAAACAAAAGCTTTTTTTCTTTTTGCATGTAATTACAGTACAGTGGAGATGTACAATTTACTGTTGAAATAA